TTTCTTAGCTTCTTTTCTGAAAAATGATTACCAGTAATAACAATAAATTCCAGAAAAATAAGCATCAAAATACTTTCTCCAACCCCCACAAATGTATCCAGTATAAAAAGTCCCAGTGTGCATATCTACTTTCCTGTACCGTTCAAGAAAACATAGTTGTGCTTCATTATCAAAAGTTGATTCTGGTAGATATCAAAAGAGAATGTGAAATATGCAAAAATGTTTTCTTAGGATAGAATGAATTGGCTAACATGGGAGTTCTTTTTTTAAATGAGATAGTAACATAAGAAAATGTTTTGTCATGTACACAGATTTGGAAACCTTCACCGCACAGCTGTATTATAAAATTAGGCATACTTCCTTGACCTGGATGATTTTTTTTAACCAATATAAAGAATGAAAGAAATTTTTATTACTGTGACTCATCCTATCAAATTTGGACTATAAATTTCATTGAAATTATCACTACGATATCTAGGAAAAGTTTGACCTAGCAGGTAATAATTGTTGTTCTCCAAAGGCAAGAGAGGAAAACCAGTCTCATCAACTATTAGTTGTGATGAAGTCTTTGGTCTTATATTTTTACAAGGCAGTGATGCATTCAGTGTACATATTAGAACTTCCTTATTGTTTTGGTCCATTTCCATGATTTCAGAGTGCATTTTAATTCTCAATTTGTTATTGATACAGATCAACCAAGTATAACTCTGTGGTTGCTTATATAGTTTTAGAGTTTCCCTTACATACAGTTTTCCTTAACCCGGGTCACAGTAAAGGATCATTTATAAAATAATGGATTGTTTCCTGTTTCTGCCAGCTGATTTGATCAATCTGAAGTTCCTTATGTACAATGGGTTACATAACCAGTATGGAATCTGTGTGGGACATTCTTTCAGTTTGGTATTAACTGAATTAACCATTTATATTCTCTAAATCATTGAGGACTTTTTTAATAAACACTTGAACTGTTCTCTTCATACACCCTTCTCCAGCAATACTGTTCACCTGGCTCTTACTCAAACACACCACATTAGCTCTCCGTGGCCTCTGCACATGCTCTTCTCTTTCCCTCCCAAAGGAAACTTACTTTTCTAAGCATCTCTTAGCTCACTCCCTTTGCATAATGTCACCTTTCATCAAAGCTGTCCCTAAACACCCCATTTAAAACTGTACCACCACCCCTAGCAATTATAGTCCTCTTACTATTTTATCTGCCCCCTTATAGGACTTGTGACTTCCTACCATTATCCATATTTTATTCAATTATTATTTATTGCTTAAATTGTTATAATCATTTATTATGGCTAATTAACATACATATTAAACTCAGGTATTTAGTTGATTAGTTATTCACCTCAATTATAGTTTGTTTTTTAATTTATATTTTTAATCGACAACTAGAAAGTGTCTAGATTAAGTATAATATGATACTTGGAAATAGGCATATATTGTGGAATGACTAAATCAAGCTAAGTAACTTATTCAGTACCTTACATGCTTAACTTTTTTTGTGGTAAGAACACTTGAAATCTATTCTACTCTCTAAGCAATTTAAAAATGGGCAAAGGACTTGGATAGACATTTCTTCAAAAAAAAAAAAAAAACACAGATGACCAACAGGGATATGAAAAGGTGCTCAACATCACTAATTATCAGAGAAATGCAAATAAAAACCACAATGATATATCACCTAACTCCTGTTAGGATGTCTGCTAGAAAAACAAAATGTAACAAGTGTTGACAAGAGTACGGAAAAATAGAAATCTTTGTACACCTTGTACACTGTTGCAAGAGCATTGGTAGAACTACTTTGGAAACTCTTTTTAATTATCTACTAAAGATGAAAATACACATACTGTGTGACCCAGTGTTTCTGCTTTGAAGTGATGTAGCCAACAGAAATACATGCACCAAAAGACATGTACAAAAATGTTAATAGGACTTCTGGTTTCCAGTTCCGCATGGAGGGAGCTTAGAAGTTGCCACTCCAACCCTAACAAGTAAACCATTGAGCAAACTGAGAAATTACCACTTATTGGACCCAGGATGGGGGAGGACACAGGGAAACCACTGTCCCCAAAAGACTAGAGAGACAGACTGGTAAATACTGAGAGTCACCTCTTACTAGAACATACAGTCACAAATAGAAATCCCACGGGAAGCAGTGTCATGGTAGAAAAACCTGAACTGTAATTGACGAATTACAGGAGGTTCAGTGTGAACAATGCTGAAAGTTAAAAACTCCAGGGGGACCCAGTCATGGGGAAACCCCATTATTTTGTTAGACTTACCTACATGGGCTCAATTAGATTCTCATAGTAAATATTGCAGAAAAATCCTTGTGTACTTCTGGCAGCAGAACCATTTTGAAATATGCCAGAGCACTGTACTCTTCTTAATAAGGTTTGCCCCCAGGAGAAATTAGTTAGCTAAATCCTAACCTGCTGGGATATTATTAGAGCCTGACTCCATGGAAGGGAAATACCTAACTCTTGTCAGCTTTAACCTTCTGCATCAGAGAAGGGAAATACTAAACTCCAGACAATTCTAGCCGTCCTGTCCTACCAAAGAGGGGAGAAGAATACTGAGGAAACACTTACAAGTTTGTAGACCGGAAGCAAATGCTTACAAAAAGACTGAGACATAATCATAGGATGATAGAATGTCTCCCTCCCCTTTACCCCACCTAGCTACTACATTACTAAAAGCTGATTTGCAGAAGTTCCTTTTACCTAGTATATCATGTCCAGCTACCAAGAAAAAATTACAAGGCATACCAAAAGGCAAATAATACAATCTGAGGAGACTAGAGCAAGCTTCAGACCCAGACATGTAGGGATTCTGAATTATCAGATGAGGAACTTAAATCCACCGTGATTAATATACTAATGGCTGTGATAGATAAAGAAGGCAGCATGCAAGAATAGGTGGACACTGTAAAAGAGAGATGGAAATACTAAGGCAAAAGCAAAGAGAAATGGTAGAGAGCAAAAACATTGTAAAATAAAGAACGCCTTTGATAGGCTTATCAGTAGATTGAACATGGCTGAAGAAAGAGTCTCTGAGCCTGAGAATATCTCAAACATAAACCTCCAAAACTGAAAAGCAAAGAAAACAAAGACTGGGAAGAGAGAAAAAAAAAAGAATAAGGACTGTGGGACAACTATAAAAGGTGTAACATATGTGTAAGGGGCATACTAGATGGAAATTGTGATATAATCATACAAAGTGATATAGTCATACAATGGGAGATCATATAGTGAGGATAATGAATAAGCTATTGCTATACACATCAAAATGGATGAATCTTTTAGGCATAATATTGAGTGAAAGAGATAAAACCACAAAAGTATACTATGTGATTGCATTTATATAAAGTTAATCAACAGGCAGAAATCAGCTGTGCTATTAAGAGATGGTAAGTATTAATTTAAAACAAGATAAGGAAGGGATTAAAATATTAAGAGATGAGGCCGGGCGCAGTGGCTCAAGCCTGTAATCCCAGCACTTTGGGAGGCTGAGGCGGGTGGATCACGAGGTCAAGAGATCGAGACCATCCTGGTCAACATAGTGAAACCCCGTCTCTACTAAAAATACTAAGAATTAGCTGGGCATGGTGGTGTGTGCCTGTAATCCCAGCTACTCAGGAGGCTGAGGCAGGAGAATTGCCTGAACCCAGGAGGCAGAGGTTGCGGTGAGCCGAGATCGCGCCATTGCATTCCAGCCTGGGCAACAAGAGCAAAACTCCGTCTCAAAAAAAAAAAAAAAAAAAAAAAAATTAAGAGATGACAAGTATAGATATAAAGACAAGGTTACCTAAGACAGAAGCAAAGAAGCAAAAGAAGGACCTGTGATTAGAAGATGCACATGCAGAGCTCTGGCAATGTTTATTTCTTGACCCACTTAGCTGTTCATCTTAAAATTATTGTTACATTGGACATTTTGTTTTATACAGTTTTTATGTGTTATACTTAATTTAAAATATGGTTTAAAAAACTGTTGCGTCCATTCTCATTTCCTACACTACAATCTGTTAACATTATTGCTCGATTTCACTTTTACTCTGTTAATAGGGATTGTGCTTAACTATTTTAACTTTTCTGATCCCCATTAAATTATTTTTATATATGAGTGTCAAAAATAATGATTTTTTTCCCAACTAAAGCTGGAAAAAATACTAACATAGCAAACAATGTAGATTTAAATGATTTTAGTGATTCTTTTCTACTACAATATTATTAAAATATATTTTCTGATGAAATGAGTTGAAATGCTATTTTTGTCCTTAAACATATTCCCACATAGATGTAGATTCCTAGCTTCCCTTGTACCCGGCCCTCTCTTGATTCAGATTGAACCAGTTGTGAGAAGCATATCTGGTCCTGTTAAAGATTATCTTTGGTAGTATTAAGGAATAGAGGAGATTTTCAAAAGTGAACTATCTTCAAATATAATCAATAAAAGATGCTGATAGAAATAGGATCTCTCTCTCCCTCCCTCTCTCTCCCTTTTTTTAAAGAGGGTGGTCTTGAACTCCTTGCCTCAAGCTATCCTCCCACCTCAGCCTCCCTTCCATCCCAAGTGCTGGGAATTTAGGCATGACCCACCACACCCAGCCTAAATTGAGTCTTTTGTATGGCTCTACTTTGTTCTGGTATCGTTAGTCAATCAAATTGGTATAATTGCTAAAACACTATATTAGTTCCGACTTTCAACAACCCTTCAAAGGAATTGTGAATTGCTAATACAATCTAAGAGTTATTTAGGAATCTGATTCCTTCCTACTCTTAAAGTTAACTCCAATATCTCAAGGGACATCCTTATATCCTACTCAGACTAGTTGTCAGCTGAGAGGGTGGTGAGTCATGGTTTTTCTCAGTCTGAACAGATCTCTAGTCATTCTAAAACCCAGTCATTTGCCATTACTGTATAGAAGAAACCATAAGTAATGGACTATCCCTTAAGAAAACCTCTCATCAAAGTATGCTTCTTTATTGTAGGTAATTCGTGCCTTTCTTCTCTTTCCAACGATTGAACGAATGTCTGAATCACCCAATGGCAGAATTGCCACTCCACTTTTGTGCTGGTTTCGATATGTTCTCTATGCTACTGGCTACTTATTATTTAAACCGTGTCCTGAGAAAATCAAGTCCTTCCTAATCAGAAGGGTCCTTCAAGTAATAAACCTGGAGAATGAATTTTCGCCATTGAATGTATTAGAACCATTCTGCCTTGGTAAGCACAGATTTTAAAATATATATGTTTATTCTTGTATCACAAAGTATACACAAAGTATTTACACAGTACTCTCTGACAATGGACAAATACCAAGCAAGCAATTATTTATTAGTTGTTTTTCTCTCCCAAAAGTTTAAAACTAGAAATAAATAAAATTAGAAAAATAGAATGAGGGAATATTTGCATGAGAAATTAGACAGAAAAGTCCCATCAAGCTTTAATTTTACCTTATGTTTCTGATTCTTTACTCTTGCTGCAAGATGGTGAGAAATACTTCTTCTGCACATAGTACATAGTACATATGGAGTCCTTACAGGAATCCTGGGTATGCCTGTTAGCTCAGTGGGAGTACTTTGCAAAAAAACAGCACAAGGACACAAAGCCTAATAGTCTTGTAGAGTTAATAGGTTGTTTTTAATTTTCCTTCTTTAAATGTTTTGAGAGAATTTAAATTATAAAAGTAACAAATAGTTGTCATGGTAATATATTTTAATACTGGATGCTTTGCTGATTGTATTTTATGAATATGCTAGGAAATGTTTTTGTGACTTTACTTTTTGGCTTCAAAAGTTGTTTTAAAATGTAATCTATCTTTCTATATTATACTATTTTATACTGTATTTATAAATGACTTTCATAATAAAGTAAACCTAGTTTCTTAATCTATAAGGTGGGGATAACAATATCCCATACTTCAAAAGGTTATTCTAGTGTTAAATGTGATAAAATATGTAAAGCTTCTATCTAGTATTTTATTTATAACAGACCTCCACTGTACTATATAACAGTTTCAACAGCAGCTAATGGCACTTTCTAAGGTTTTACCTGTGGTCCTCAGAAGAACTAATAAGGCTTAATATTGCCTTGTTCCCATTTTAGATGAAGCAACTGAGGTACAAAGAAGTTACATGATTGCCCAAAGTCATACTGCTAGTGTGTAGTGTTTAAACCCAGGCATTCTGCCGCTGTATTGCATTTCCTGTCACTGTAGCTGCTGCTGGTGTCTTTTTGCCCTAGTTAATGATAACAGCAGGATTCCTGAATGAAGTTTTGTATGCTCAGCTATAGTAAGAATGCTGTAGGGTCACATGCATAATGAACTAGAAACAAGTTAACAGCCCTGCCTGTCCACTTGTACAGCGGCAGTTCATATGGGAGGTGTTTTTCTAAATATGTAGCAAGAAGCAGTTCTCACAAATACAAGGTGCAGTATATTTGTCGTACCTATAGATCTTTTCTGTTTCCATTTGCCCCCCAATTTACATTCTTTAATATAGCCTTAGCATAGTGGTCAAAAAAGATGTGATAGGAAGAGGGGAAGCAAAGCTTAAAGACAGTCCTAGAAATTGCCAGAGGTTGAGTTGGAAATATCCCTGAAAGACCATTTGCTGCAACTCCTCATCTCTCCACCATATTGTTACAGTAAAGGGTCCCGATCCATACCCCATGAGAGGGTTCTTGAATCTCGTGCCAGAAAGAATTCAGGGCGAGTCTGCAGTGCAAAGCAAAAGCAAGTTTATTAAGTAAGTAAAGCGGTGAAAGAACAGCTACTCCATAGACAGAGTAGAACATTCTTAAAATTAAGAGGAGGAGCACATCCACCCTACGTACAATGCTTGTATGTATGGGAAGATGTGCTCTGCTACAAGGGTTTGTGATAAAGGATTAATTTTTGTAATTACTGTATTTTGCAAGAATTAGTATTATTATCTTTAAAGCAAAATTAGGAATGCCTTTGTTCTCCAGATATCGGGATATCTGGACACTCTCAAGTCTGGGTCTGTTTTAGTAAACATTACTAGTTTGTTCCCTTAACCATAAACATCTAGAGACTAGGAATGCCTTACTTTCTGAGAATGCAGCCTAGCAAGTCTCAGCCTCATTTTCCTAGCCCACACTCAAAGTGAAGTCTCTTTGGTTCAAACACCTCTGACAGTATTGTGGAACAGATGCCTACTGGTGGTGAAAATGGTACCGAAAGGAAGTCAGAAACCTCAACTCTCATTTTGGTTCTGCCCTAGACTCACTCTGTGGCAAGAAAGAGTGAAAGAAGAAAAATATATAAATGTATTAACAGTTATACTTCGTATGTGCATGGGAGATACCCAGAGAAAAGAGTAAATCTCAAAGAGGTGGCTTCTGAGTTCAGACTTAAGTCATCTTCAACTAAAACAAAGGAGGTCAGTAATGGGAGGTGACCAAGAAAAGCACTGCACACAAGACAAAAGTTTGTTTTACAGATTTAAGTTGGTGCCCTTTGCATTGACAATAGAGTCCTTGGTTATTTAAAGTCATCCTTCATGGTACAGAGAGGAAGACACCCATACTAATGGAAATGTCCTTTATAGATGTGAATTTCCCTTTAAAAAGGGAACATCTCCATTTTTAGATCTTCTCCTGTGTCTCCAATTTCTCAAAATACTCAGTTTAAAATAATCCTTTTGCCCAAGAGGCATCTTTAGGGATGGCATACTTCGGTCCCCTACAGTCATTTTGTGACAGTGTATTCTGGTCTTCAATACTTCCTTTCTTTATTATTATTATATATTTTTTGAGACAGAGTCTCACTCTGTCACTCAGGCTGGAGTTCAGTGGCTAAATCTCAGCTCATTGCAACCTCCACCTCCCAGGTTCAAGCAATTCTCCTACCTCAGCCTTCCAAGTAGCTGGAACTACAGGTGGCCACCACCACTCCCAGCTAATTTTTTTATTTTTAGTAGAGACAGGGTTTCACCATGTTGGCCAAACTAGTCTCGAACTCCCAACCTCAGGTGATCCACCTGCCCTGGCCTCCCAAAATACTGGGATTACAGGCAGGAGCCACCACACCTGGACTCTGGTCTTTAATACTTTTTAAAAGAAACCTTTAGACAGTAACTGCTGTACTCTGCTCCAGCCATCTCCAGACATGCTCACAAAGTTTGCGTGGACTTTACCCTCTCCCCAGCAGTGATGAAGCACCCCTTTCCTTGCTCTAGGATACTGTCCCAGAAGAGGCTGAGTAGACAGCAAAGACTTTCATTACTGCCCTGCAGTAATGGAGCCACCATCACCACTACCCTCATGATATCAGTAAAGGTTCATGTGGGGAGAAGTAGCAAGGGACTCCCACTTGTCCTAGGCTAGAGGGTAACAGTGGAAGCCTAGTAGGGAGTCAGAATTTCTACCTCTGCCCAGCAGCTATGAGGAGCCCCTTTATCCCTTGGGTGTCAACAGAAGTCAAATGAATAACTTAAGAATTTCTACCCCTGCCCAGCAGCTGTAAGGAGCCGCTTCAGTCCTTGGGTATCAACAGGAGTCAAATGGGTAACTTAGACTCTACCCTATGTGGCCTTAATGAGAAAACAGCTACAATGTAAAGTTTAAATAAGATCCAGAGTCTCATAACATAATATTCAAACTGTCTATGTTTTAGTTGAAAATCACTTGTCTAACAAAGTCTCAACTTGACTGGAAAAAAAAAAAAAAAAAGTCCCAGCTACTCAAGAGGCTGAGGCAAGAGAATCACTTAAACCCAGGAGGCAGAGGCTGCAGTGAACTGAGATTGTGCCATTGCTTTCCAGCCTGGGTGACAGAGCAAGACTCCATCTTGCGGGGGGAAAAAATCAATGCCAACATCAAAATGACAGGTAATAGAATTACCTGACAAAGACTTTAAAGCAGCCATTATAAAAATTCTTTAATGATCAATAATAAACATGTTTGAAACTAATAAGAAGATAGAAAAATCTCAGGAAAGAAAAGTTTTAAAAAAACTGAATGGAAATTTTAGAACAAATTTAAAATCTCAATGAATGGACCCAATAATAAAATAAGGGGACGAGGAAAGAATCAGTGAATGTGAGATTAGATCAGTAGAAATTACCCAACAGAGAGAAAATATACTGAAAAGGGGAAAAAAACTGAACAGAACCTCAGGGACCTGCTGGATTACAACAAAACATCTAACATTTGTGATAACACAAGTCCTACAAATAGAGAGTAGCTCTGAAAAAGTACTAAAAAAAAAATGGTTAAAAATTCCCAAATTTTGCAAAAGATATGAACTTACAGATTCAAGAAGCTGAGCAAATTTAAAACTGAAGAAATCTGAAGAAATCTACACTAAAACACATCATAACTAAGCTTTTGAAAACTAAAACAAGAAAATGTCTTGAAAGAAGACATAGAGCGAAGTGATGCATTATTCATGGTAGAAAGTCTATTTGAAGGACAGCTGGTTTTTCATCAGAATCCATGGAAACCCGAAGAAAATGACAAAATACGAAATTAAAATAGCTATCAATCCAAAATTCTATACCTAGCAAACATATCTTTCAGGAAAGAAGTGGAAATTTAGCATTCTCAAATGATGTAAAACTAAAAGAATTTGTCATCATTTGATCTACCCTAAAAGTGTAACTGCAGGAAGTTCTCTCAACAGAGAGGAAATGATAAAAGAGGCACTCTGGGAACGTCAAAAAGAAAGAACAATGGAACAAGTTAAAATGTGGATGAATGCAGCTTTCTTCATCTCTTGAGATTTCTAAATTATGTTTAACAGTTAAAAATTATAGCACTGTCTCTTACGGTTCTAAATATTCTAAAGGAAATATCTAAGGCAACGATTTTCTAAATGGGGAAGGGTACAAGGACATAATGGCAAGTAAGGCTTCTATACTTTACTTGAACTGTAAGATGTAACTATGTATAGATGGTAATAAGTCATGTGTATCTGTAATGTAGTACCTAGAACAGTCATTTCAAATCCTATTCAAAAGAGATACTGAAAATCACCATGGATAGATCAAGATGGAATTCTATATTTAGTAGCACATTGATTGGAAGACCAGAAAAAGAACTCAGAGACATACATGACAGAGAACAAACAGAAAATAAATAATAAAATGATTGTCCATTATTATATTGAATGTAAATGATTTAAATATACAATTAAAAGAAATTGGCAGGGTAGATTAGAAAATATGACTCAATTATATACTGTTCTTGAAAATCTT